AATAAATTATAAATTAAGTCTTAAATATTACGTATATTATCCTTAAATGACTCTTTCTTCCAATTGCTCAACTATTGAAATTCCTAACAACTTCAGAGAGTCTTATGTTGGAGGGCCCCAGTGAAACATTTATTATAAACAGTTCTGGAGTATTATAGCCATGAGCACTCCTTCTGTTTATGCTTGAGCATGATTCTTTTTCATGGAAGATTCTCACTGAAGCTGATGTACATTTTGTCTGAATAAGGACTTCTGGATAAGGCACAGCCAACTATAATGTGGACAGCAGCAGTACAAGCTTCTTCCAAATACCGCTTACTATTTCCTAACTCACTCCTACAGGGATTCTTTCCCAGGCAATTAAGTGGAATTTCATGATATTGGAGTTCTTTTTCTCTTGCTAAAAAGCTGACTAGTAACAGTTTAACAGTGGTATTGTACGCAATTATAAAATGTTGGCATTTTTCCATTATAATGTTGGCTGAGACCTACCTACCAACCCATTTCTCAAAACAAATAGTAGCTACATGGCACCTTTTCATTAGCTACTGAACTGAACTAGCTGTGATGAACTAGTGACCTAAGGGTGAAAGGCATTTTTATCCCATTATTAATCCTAACGGAGCCAGAGAGGCCTTCCATTAAAAACTTATTTATGAAAACAGTTATAAGTCTCTGGATGTGCAGTCATACATCTATATTTTCATTTGTAAGGTTGCCAAGGTACATGGGTGTGCATGTATATCTGTAGACCCTGCTGTTAGAAATTGGGAGATTTCTAATGGACTTCAATGCCTGCATTTGTGTGGGTCAGTTCACGTAAAAGTGAATATGTACACAACATGCCAGCCTTCAGCAATTGTGTTTTAGCTGTTTTAACAATTAACTGCAGATTTCCTTAATGTTCCAGAAATCCATTCCCTCATGTCTGTGTTTTACATAGTACTGAATCCTTACAGTGAAGCAGGAAACAGATAGATGTTGCCTTCCAAATCTGATTATTTCAGCATATCTGTCCTCTTATGTTAGTAAAGGAATAAACTGGCAAGTTGAATAACTTAACTGCCTGACAGAAGACATAGGTTTGATAAATGCCAAAGTTTAACAGTGAAATAGCCTGATTCTGTCAAATGATTGGGTTTATAGCATTAGACACCAGAATAAAGCTTACTAAATATATGCCAAAAAATTAGCCTTTTAACAGCAAACAAGTGAAATAGAAGAGGAATCTTTAGATGAACTGTGATGCAAGTGTTCTCAGAATGTCACTCTTCAAGAAAACATTTTTATATGTTTTTTGACAAATTTATATACATTAAGAGGATGAACAAATGGCTTTGATATTCATTTGTAGTTGGTTCAGTTTTATGCCTTGGGCGATACAAGTAAATTATTTTCACCCTTATCTGTTAATAAGCATTTGGGATGTTAATAGCACATTCATTCTTGTGTGTGTGTGTGTGTGTGTGTGGATACACACACATACAAATACATATATAGGCACCTGCCACTATTATGTACTCTAGGTCTCCTGACAGGCTTTAGCTGCATGCAGCATACATTTAGAAACTGCCAAACAAAATTTAATGGTAACATATTGCAGTGACCTGAGTAGATGAATGTTAATTAAATTAGATAAATATTTTTGGCCTTATTATACATACTTCTATCAGCAATTCCATTTTTGGGGAAGTATTCAATAAACTGCTGTTTAGGAATAGCACCCAGGGTTGGTGCAAAAAAGGTTGCAACCAGAAAAGTTTAATAATGTTAGTCTGTTTTAGTGCAGGGATTCAAAATTTGTAAATGTATTTTTAATTATTTGTGCATGCAGGCGATGTCTGTCATTTTGGAGTTTCAGGACTGAACATTGTCCCCTAGTACTTTTTGTCAGAGTAAGGCTATTGACCGTAGTAATTTGACCGATTTTCTATTTTAATAATTATTTTATATATACCAGAATCCCCTGTGTGACTTCAACTGGTTGTGCTAATTTTCTTCAGCTCATGTTCCAAATAACTTGTGTGCTATTTAAAAGTAGTTTCTAGATTTCACCCATTGGATGAGTGATATCTGCATAAGCTGGTACTGTATATGTTACTAGTGTACTGTATTTTGGTATTAAATGCACTTAAGGTAAGATGATACCACCTGGCACATCTGGCACAGGTTTGGAAGGCAGCCTTCCCTTGCACTGTGTGATATTAGAAAGCATCAGTTATCTAGAAGCTGTTCAGTATCTGAGGAATGTAGAAAATGTTATTAGATGATAAGGGCTAAATTCTTCCCTAGCATGATGGCTCAGCTCCTGGAGTACCAGCAAAATAATTGGTAGGTTATGCTCTGAATGGTGTCCTTGATCTTAAAATGTACACTCTCTTTATTTGTGCTAGACTTGAAATAAGTTTTTGGGACATGCAGTAAAGCCTCTTTTTACCTTATTTGTGGTTGAGAAGTTGAAGTAATTGCACAAAGAAGTTCTTATCATTTGAATGTTAATTTATGGGGTAGATACCTAGAGCTTGGGATGCATATCTGTCACTAAAATCTGCAGTTATATACAATTCAAATATAGCTCCAGCTTCTGCTCCCTACAAGTAAGGCTGGAGCAGTGCAGTATGGCGCATGAGGCTGAGGGAGTCCACTACCAGAGGGCTCAAGGGACCTGGAGACCCTGCACTGCATGGGGTCGTTGGTGCAGTGCAGCAGAGGTTATCTGCTATGGCAGGGCAGGGACCACATGGTAGGGTGCAGTGTAGGGGAGTCCCATGCAGTTTGCTGTTGTGGGAAGGGCCCTACAGTCTAGAGATAATTATGTTTTCACAAAGGAGCAAATAGTGAGTTTACTCCTGGTGCTTGGGTTACAGTTATAGGATTGTTGACATAAGTTTTTCTGTAAGTGCTGAAGTTGTGCAGACTGCATTGTTATTGCCACCTGCTCATAAGCATCAGTGCTGTGCCCCATGAGCACTTTCTCATTAACATCTTCTGAATCATTACTTATTTTTCTTCTGCAGTTACAGTGGTTCTCAGCCAGGTGTTGCATGAACCCAAATGAGGCAGGAAATGCTGTAGCTATGTGCATGAGGTGTAAGGGGCTCTTTTACCTGGGTGGGATGCTCCTGGATTCTGTAGGCCAGTCCTAGCCAATTGGTCAAAAGTCCCAGGCTGGAGTCCAGCAGGGAGGCAGCCAGGCAGGCACTGTTGTTCCTGTAAGGCAGCAAGACAGGCAGACTGGAGCAGGTATGACCCCGCCTGCATGTGGTACGTCCACACAGCAGCAGTGGTGCCTGTCCAGCTGCCTGCCTGGTGTACCATGTGATTCTGCCTCACTGCTGGACCCTGGCTCAGGACTTTTGACCAACTGGCCAGGACTGGCCAACAGAATGCAGGTGTGTCTCAGCCAACCCAGGACATACGGTCATCCTACATAATCCCAACCAACAGCAAAGACTTTGTGGAGCTAGGGAGAAACATTTGTTCACAGGCGTGTTATGACATACTTAAGGCTGACCAATGTTTGAAACTACTCCAGATGAGATGAGTTATTGATGAAATTCTGTATGCCCATTTCCATGAGGAAAGATTATTGACTGCAAGACTTCCTCTGGATCCTACTTGATAGTGTTTCTTTGCTTTAGTGGCTTGATGTGTTAAGCAAACAAAAGGGACTTTATTAACAAAGATACAATCTTTTAACAACTGTTTTTGAACTGGCTGTTTTCTCATAGTATTGGTACTTGATCAGTTCCTACAGGCTACAGAGTATCCATCGCTTTTGCAGGTGTCTGTATGTGTGAGTGTGTGCATGTGCATGCATGAAGGCAAAGCTGTTACTTCAGACATTAATGTGTGTGAAAATGACTAGTAATTAAATATCTCATGTGCCTGAATTTTATGCGCAGAAAATTCAGGTGCATTAAACTGCACCCTGGCACACATTGAGAACAAATTTGCTCTCAACGAGAGTAGTTAAATCCAGGGCTGTCCTGTCCTACTTTGCCCCTCTGTAGCAGCCAGGGGAGCTCCAGGCTCCTCCAGGTACCAGCCCCAGGGTGGCACAGAGCATGGAGCGGGTCAGGCCTGGACTGGTGGGGAGATGGGGACAACTGTCTGCCCACTTCCTAGAGCAGCTCTGAACTCCATGGAGCTGGGACCTCTGCCAGGCAGGCAGGGAGCTGGGGCCAGCCATCTGCCAACTCCCTGGAACAGCTCTGAGTCCCATGGAGCTGGGAGCATCACAAGGCAGGTAGGGAGCTGGGGACAGCTGGTCTGGGATGTGGGCAGGTAGCAGTCCCCAGCTCCCCACCCACCGACGGAGCTCAGAGCTAACCTATGACCCCCTGCTGCCTGGGCTGACCAGGAGCAATTTGCTCCCAGTAAGCATTTACATGTGTGCTTTGGCGCATGAGTTTAATGTGCTGTTTTCTAGTACCTGTATCTAAGAACATTAGACTAATTTAATTCCCAGAAATTGCCATGCATGTGTAAACACTGATGCTTTACTGTGCATTAGATTAATCTAATGCACAGTAAATTATCTCATGTTGGCCAATCCACTGGGTACACAGTAAAATAAAATTATGTAGCCAATGTATATTATTTCTGTGAATGAATAAATGCATTTAATTTTTCATACTTTAGTTTTGTTTCAGAGTGATGCTTTCCATGACTTTTCTGGAAAAGTAGCTTGTGGTTTGCAGTTCACTGAAGGTTCTTTACAATATCTGTTGTAATGGATTTTCACTTTTACCTTAGTTCCTGAACTTTGATAGGTCTGGACATATTTCTCTCACTGCCTGGAGATCTATAGCATAAAGCAGTCAACCACAGGCCTTGTTATAACACTTAAATATTCATATTTACTTAGGTTAAATCTAGTGATAATAGTAATTGGATTTTTTTTTCTCTAGTGCTTGGAATATGGAAAGTGTAACTGAACTGTCAGCTGATAGCGCCATGGTGACAGAGTTAAAATAATGCATTTTTCTCTTTTTAAGGGCCGCAAGAGTGAGGCAGAGAAGTACTTCTTGAAGGCTATTCAGCTGGATCCTACCAAAGGAAACTGTTACATGCATTATGGTGAGTTTCAGATAGATAGGATTTCCTCATATATTCCAGGCTTGCTGTTAATCTCTCTGAATGATTAAGGATTTGAAAACTGCTACTGGCAAAATATCTCCTTTAAAGGAAAAAACCTAACTTACCATGTAGAACTTCATCTCCGTTTCAATTTGTTAATCACAGCAAAGAGAGAGGTAGATATATTCATATTTTGTACAACTTTCCTCCTGGGAGGGGAATTTCAGAACTGCTGTCTCTCAGGAAAAGAGGAAGGTGAATATAGCCATATATCAAAGGCTTCATAGTTTTGTTTGTTATTGTTTAACAGAATTGGCCTAGCTTTGCTTGCTGCCTGTGGGTGGGCAACTAAAGATTATATTATAGCATGCTCCAATGCAGGACAGCTAAGTTTCTGTTTCCTATTGAGTAGTTATGGGCCATACATCTGCCTCCCTCCCAGACTCTCTGGCTTAAAATAGATAAGTATTATAAAAGGCTTTGACAAGTTTGGCTATACCTTCATAACACTAAGCCAATCATGTGTCTAAGTAATGCAAAGTATACAGTTAATTTGTATCATTATAGCTTTAGATTGTTTTTTGCTACATTTACAAAAAATATTTCCAGATGTGATTGGTCCCAAGAAACCAAAAATATTTAACTTTATGAACTGCCTCTTATTGTAGTTTAAAACTGATAACAGAAACGGCAGAAAATATGAGTTATATAGTCCCAGCTGGAAAATTTAGAGGGGAATAAATTTAATCTTAGTTGGGAAGGAAGGTGGGGAACCACAGGCATACAGTGTATATTTTTGTATATTGTTTTAATTTCTTCTTCTGGTTCCAGCTAGCTTAAGTACGTGAACAATAGAGATGGCGTGCAAAAATTGAAATAATAAGAATAAAAGATAGGTAACCGGTCGCAATTTTATTTATATCACTGTGCAGTTTCTATGAAATGTGTAGTCGTATGCTTTTGAGTCTCATGCTTAATGGCTGCAATAATCTGTTTGTTCTTGCATGGTGATCTGATTTTGTTGCATTACAAAGTGTAGTACCCTACCTTCCTAAGGTAATACCTAAGTATGTGAGGTTATTTGTCCTCATGAGAACAAATTTGTATATCCTATGCACATGCAAAGTTGCACATAAATGTTATGATCACAGAAACCACTGAGGACAAATTCAGTGGTACCTCTCAAAAATCTTTGGTGGCTCTTCCATCAGAATTATGAAGTTTGCTGAAGTGTAGGCTGTCTCTCATAATTACAAATTTTCCTACTTTAATCCTTCAATTTTAGTTTCTGAGGTCATATAAAGCAAAAGCAAGCTTACTTTTCCCCTAAACATATAGGATACATTGATTTATACATTTAAAATGCTAAAATCATAAATTCTAGTGCAATGTCTCATAATTTTAGGTTATCCATTTAACACTATAGAAGAGATCACCTGATTAGAATAAAATAGAGGAAAGCATTTATTTTTTAGCATTGTAAAGGACAAATAATGTCCTCCATCCCTTTAGGTACAGAGGGCCTTTATTGCAAAGGATATGATTCATCTGTACAGATGTGCTGTCAGAATTTGGCAAGTACTAGGGATAGACTGCTGTGAGTGTGACTAGTTATATCTACAAATATTCAGAATAGCTCTTTGCTTTCAGTGGTGTTTATTCCACATTTATATCAAAGCAAACTCAAGCTGAACTTGGCCTAGCTTTTGTATGGATTAGATATCCCACACCACACGGGCAGTCTTCAAAACCTGCAACTTGCCAAAACTGGGCAGGTGCTATACTTTTCCTAAAATTAGGAAAGGATTCTCTGGGGTATTTTTTTTTCTTTACTTATTCCACAGTCCTAGTAGGAAACCCATAATATGTCCAAAAGCATTCCAGTTATTAAAGATAAATGCCAACAAGTTAGCTACACATCTTATAAATGTTAGAAATATTTCATTATTTCCTGATTTCACTATTGCCTCCTTAATTTATCAATTTAAAATGAAATTAAATAGAGATTATGCTTTAGTTAATACTTAAGATTTCAATTTTTCATTTCTAACCTTAGGCTCTGGAAGTACTTCTTGTGGTCTGCTTTGTACAGGATTATGGTAGAAGTCGAGAGAGATGTGAGGTGTTAATATATACATGTGTATAGAGATCCCACCTTCATCATATTTGCAATTACTTAATTGGAATGGGAGAGAAAAGAACCCAATAGGATGGTCAAATTAATTTGTTTGTTTTAATCACCATTAAGACCTCCTTTTAAATTTAGTTTTCTTTGAATAATGCATTGAATAATCACTTAACTATTTTCTTCGTATAATAACAATAGATTATTCTCATTAAATTAATTATACATTCACTTCATTAGGTAAATCACAGTTCTTTTTCTTGCTTTCTTGGTGAAGTTCCACTTGTAGATTTTTTCTTTCTTCATTTTCTTCACCAAACGAAGCAGATCAGCTGTGCCTTTGTGTCATAGTACAGGTGATCCACTTCATTGGGAGAAACACACATCGGCCCTTGTGCTATCCTTGATGGTGCAGGACAAGGGACTATGTGATCTCCCTACTTATGAAGAGGCAATCCAGAATCCATGTGGTGCCTCTCTAAGAAAGTAAAACAGGCAGATGCTTTGTGGTGGCTGGAGAGTAGGAGCAGTTCAGCCTGTTCTACTTTCCTGCCACAGAGGGAAATAAAAAAAGTTGTATTCTGCAGTAAAGGAGTGGAGTCTACTACCTTTTATCATGCCACTCATTTTCCTTTGATATGCTGCGACACAGGACAACAACATCTATTAGGTCAACATTTATGCCGCCAGAAAAATTTTTATGGTAGTGCAAATGAGACATCAGGCTATGTCCCTTTTTGACCCATAGATATAGCAACATATAAGTGTTACTATAGCATATACAATTAGGTGGTGGAGGACTAGGGACTAATCTGCTTGCCCTGAGTCAGTGACCATCTGTCAGGTCAATTGATCAGGCATGCCTGGCTGGGCCAAGCACCTGTGTAGTCACACTTGCCCCTGATCCCTACCTAACCTAGTTGCCCCAGTTCCTTGCAACTAGGTTAGCTGCTGTAAATGCCACTTACATCCTGTAAGTACACTTATAGCCTCAGGCTGCAGGCACACTTCTACACAACCCCACTCTGTTCCGGCAAGCCTTGCGTTCACTGCTCTTTGGTTCTCCTGGTGGCTGACTTAGCTTTGGCTTTCTCTGACCCTGATCTTGAATCTTCCCTGAACCTTTGTACTGGCCCTGTTCTCTCTGGTTTCCCTGGCATCTTAACTCAGTTTGGCTTCCTTGACTCTGACCTTGGATCTTCCTTGGAACTTGGCACCATTTCTCTTTACTCCTGGCTTCTGACCTTGGCTTACACCTAAGACTACATCTCTTAGATATCCCTTCTTGGCTCTGGTAACCTGCAGCCTTGCTGTGCTAACCCCCAAGTTACTCTTAGTGGGCTTATCATGGGCCCAGCTGCCTATGTTCTGACCAAATCCTCATGCTATCCTGGGATGAGCTGTAGACAGATGACAGTAACTTATGCTGCTTTGGGTTTAACCCTGTTCTCTGCTTCCAGGTTATTCTACGCTGTTTTCAACTTGCACCAAAATAGGGCTGTTCATTGTCTGCTTGTTTCCTTATTTACACCTATGTAAGCATGTTTGTCTTCTTCAGTAATGAGACATTACTTGGCTTTCTGATGCTGAGCATCTAGGAATTGGGAGTGCAAACCTTAAGAAATATTACTGGTTTTCTGGTCAAAAGCCTAAACATTGACTACACAATTCATAATTCCAGTGTATTGTTCATTTCTGACTGTCAGATCAACTAAAGACAGAGTATCCTGAGTGAGCAAGAGAACAAAGCACATGAATCTGTTCTACTGGGAACACCAGATGTTTCATAATGATACATATTTGGTAACTGAATTCCTCATTGACATGAGCGTAGAGCCAGACAGATGCACTATGCTGATCAGCATACGACTCTCCCAGCATTCCTGTTCTACACCCATGAACTTCTCAACCAGGGAAAGAAGTTCTCAGAATTTCAAAATGAAATCTCCACAAAGACATAAAATGGCAGACTTTACACAAATATATTGTGATGCTTTGGGGGAAAATGCAGAAAGTGCTTATCTAGTATTCAGGTAATGAGTACTCTTAGAATATGTTCTTGCATATGCGTCTCACAAAGGAGTCCCAATTTCTGACTGTAGCCTCCAGCTACTACTGTAACACAAAGAAATATAGTTCAAGAAAGATGGGATTGCTGAGTTCCTAAACGTTAAATATTTTGAGAGCTGTAATTGATAGTTTAAGATCACATTAAGCTTCCAACCTCCCTGCTCCCTGAACTGCCTTCAGTAACTTGATTTAAGAAAAGCTTTAACCTCTCTGATATAATATGAGAATACATCTCTCTTTGTATTGAAACTGAAACCAAACAGACCAAGTGAAAGAATATCCCAATGTTAAGTCTTGTTTGCAAACAGCTTGGCAGCTGTGAATGTGATTCAGCATTGAAGTAGAGCTGTGATATAATTAATGTACAAAGAAATGCATGTGTCTTCATAAACTGTCAAGACCTTCTTTCTGCTCATAAGGCTAGTGAAATTGCACAACATAAAACAGCATATTTACTTTCCATTACAATGTGTACTTATTGTAAAATCCCTTTTAAGGTGGTCATTTTTTCTGGGATGAAACAGAATCTTTCCAAACAGGCTAGATGAGTGACCCCAAAGGCTGTGTAATTTGAAAGTATTTTTCTGCTGTTTCTTCAAGAGTTTATCCTTAAATTTACTCTTTCTGGCATTCTGAATATACGTAATATTTTCTACTTCCTTCACAGTGAACTAGCTGGCTGGTGGCAGCAGGTAGCACTGCTGCTACCCCATTTAACAGTGGGAGGGGAAAAGCCTCTTGTCTAGGAATAGCATATGAGGGCTTGTCCAGGAATAACTCTGGAGCAAGAGTAAGCATTGTGGAA